CACTCCTCAAGTGGCTTGTATCATAATTAACTGGCCGCCATCAAATAATAAAATACAAAGGAAAGACATCAAATCCCGTTTATGCCACTTCAGGAGTTCCTCAAGGATCCCATTTAGGACCGCTTTTATTTATTCTCTTCGTCAATGACATATTTTTTTTTATTATTAAGAAATTGAAAGTTTTAATCTATGCTGACGACATTAAACTTTTTTACCCTTCTTACAAAGAAGGGTATAGATATCACTTGAAAAACCGACTATCGATCCGAGGCCCGGAGGGCCGAGTGTTATATACCATTCGACTCAGCTCGACGAGATCGGAACATGTCTGTGTGTGTGTGTGTACGTGTGTATGTATGTATGTGTGTGTGTATGTAGCGAAATGAATGCGTTCATGTTTCTCAGTAACCGCTCAACCGATCTGGACAAACTCGGCGCCAAATGATAGGTCTTGGAGTCCCATTGAACGCTATTGAACGGTTTTGGAATCGGTGAACCGGTTCCGGAGATATGGCCGGAATAAGATCCGGTGAATATGGGCCTTCACGCTGGATTTAACGGAAAACGTATCAAAACCATCATGCGACACATCAAATTACTACAGAATTCAAAAATAAGATCAATGCAAGTCGTGTTAAGTGTTCCAGACCACATTGGACACACTTGCACATGTTCCGGGTACCCCGGGGAAGTTGCTTGAATATGAATTGAATTAAAACCCATTAAATCACATTAAAATACGATAATAAGGTGATTGGTAGCCTCACCAAATAGACTACACCCGGATATATTCCGGGTACCCCCAGGCAGTGGCGTAGCGTCACTGGATGACACGAGGGTGGGGGGCTTGGTCACTGATAATGACAATAAAATAAATAAACTTGAATAAGTAAGAAGGGTCTGATCACACCGTAGGTGAATAAATTCGGGTTTTTTAATAAAAGATGCCAAAGACTTCAACACATTCAAAGAGGAAATACAGATATTCCATACTTGGTGTCATAAAAGCCTGCTAAAATTAAATATAAAAAGTAGAAGGGTCTGTACTTCCCGCATGCTGCCTCTTGCGGGAGGCCTCTACCGGTCGATGTGGGTGTTTTCGTCTTTGTATTGGTGCGATGCGTGCTGTTCCATTCATACTTCGTGTCTGATGCTTATCCGTCCTTTAATCGAAAGCAAAATTAGTAAGTAGTAAAATTCTTCTTTAGTTGTGATTTGTTACGTGGTTTACTATTGCTAATACAAGGCAAGAGGTTAACGGCGCCGGTGGTGTAGTGGTAAGCGTGATTACCTCTCACTCCAGCAGGCCTGGGTTCAGTCCCAGTCGGCGCCGCCGGGATGTTCTGAGGCATAACATCTCTGATCACGCCTTCCTTCGGATGGGAAGTAAAGCCGTTGGTCCCCGGTTCATGAGTTGATGGGTCGATAGGTAGGGTCCAAGTGTGGGAGCTGCCTTCCTGGCACCGTCGGTAGCATTGGTGCTCAGCACGGAAAACAAGATCGACGGAAAAAACAAACGAAAGGAAAAAAAAAGGCAAGAGGTTAGCCAGAAGGGCTCTTCATGTTTGGTGAAATTTTTGATTTTGTGTTTGTACATGTTGTGTTTTACTGTTGTAATGTTTTACAATTCTCTTCTTGTGATGAATGTTTGATTTAAATGTTTTATTTTGTTATTCTACCTACTTAACCTAACTTAGCTTAACCTAACCTAACGTGCCAGATCTCTGATGATCTGTTGATCGAATCGTCTACAGCAATCTCTGAACCTAGTGATGGAGTCAGCTCTCCGTAACTCCAGTGTCTGAAGACCAGCCAGGCGGTAGACCTCAGAGTCCGCGATGGACTATTGACGATCATTCTCAGGATCTTATTCTGGATCCTATGGTGGCTGAGATGGTGGCTTTTTGCGCAAATCTCCCAGATTGGCATCCCGTATTCTATAACGAAGAGGATGATTTGTTTGTAGACAGCAAGCTTATTTTTCAGGGACAGGGTAGACCTCCTGTTGATGAGTGGATAAAACGATCTAATCAAGATGTTGCACTTGGTTTTGGTTTTGTCAACGTGCTCCCTGAAAATCAGCTTGCTGTCTAATGTTAGGTGTATACTACCTCTTTCGACCATTCCACCACTGTGCCGTTCAGGCAGATCTTGTTATTCTCTGACGGAACAAGTCTGGGAGATTTAGAGTGTGGAAAGATAATGACCTGGGTCTTTGCCACGTTGATCGGCTCTTCCAGCTGTTGAAATATTCAGGCAGGACGTCCAGGCCTCTCTGAAGTTTGGCAGTCAGAGCTCCGATGACCCTACCCTTGTAGACGATGGATGTGTCATCTGTGAACAGAGACAACGATCCACCGTCAGGGATAGCCGGCATATCGGAGGTGAACAGGTTGAATATAATGGGGCCAAGGATGCTTCCTTGTGGAATCCCGGCACCGATGTTGAAATAATCCGATGTGATGCTATTCAGAGAGACTCGGAACGTCCTGTCCGATAGATAGTTGTTTATTATCTTCACTAAGAAGATTGGAAGACCGTACTGGTCAAATGCTTTTTCAACGTCCAACATAGACTTGTTCCGTCTGAGAATGTTTGTTACTCGAGTCAGCTGGTTGACGGTCGAACAAACTTTTCGAAAACCAAACTGCTCCTCGAGTAACAAGTTGTTTTCATCGGCAGATTTTAGGAGCCGGTGGTACAGTGCTCTTTCGAACAGTTTTGATAACCCTGAGAGAAGGCTGATTGGTCGATAGCTTGATGGAGAGGACGGATCCTTCCCAGGTTTCCGGATGGGTATGACTTTAGCTGACTTTCAACACGAGGGGAAATAGCCAAGTCTGAGGCACTGATTAAAAATCAGTTCCAGATGGTTGTAGAATCTGGAACTCAAGTGTTTGAGTTCCTGATTCAGGATGTTGTCGAAACATGGGTGGGGCCTTCATGTTTTTAGATGATTTGATATAGGCCAACAGTTCGTCAGCAGAAATATCGGATTCCTCGGGTAAAATGTTGGGAATCTGATGAAGATTAGTTGCATTTTCAGAAACCTCAGTTTCGTGAGGGCTGACGATGTTTTCCGAGATTATAGGAGCTGACGAAGTGTTGACCTATCGCGGCAGCCTTCTCTTCTGGAGTTATCAGTTGAAACACTGGGTCGCCGGAACGGGTCAGTGGTGGAATGGGTCTTGGCTTGGTTTTCAAGATTTTCGTTAGTTTCCAGAAGAGATTTGCACAAGCTGGGAGAGAGCGGATCGTGATAGCAAAATCTTGATTTCAAAGGTCCACCATCCTGGCTTGGATGGTTTTTGTAAAATATTTGCAATGGGTCTTCAAGACATGCAAACCAGAACGCTGATATTGCCTTCGGATGGAGTTACGAAGTCTGCTGAGATTTTTGGTAATTCTATCAAGGTTCAGAGTATTGCTCACCTGTCCTGTGGATACTGACAGGTGTTGTTCATTGGCCTCCTCGATGGAACGCAGACACCGGTCATCGTCTTCGGGCGTCTTCGGAAGGACACCGTGTACAGAATGGTTTCGGATTTCATCATGCTGACCAAAATTCTCGAAGAAAACGGTGAACCACCCAACCCAGGTAACATTGCAGGTTTTATCGCGGTTTTGTAGCATTCTACAAGTCTAAAAATGGTCTACAGAACCCTCATAAAACCAAAATTGTTACTTGGGCAGTGAACGTCCTATTTCAAGGGAAAACTTCCCCTATCTGATGGTAGTGTTAGCATGCGTGGGTGAAATACCAGTTACGCCAAATCGACGATCGAATGCGTTTACAAAAGCTGGAACGTCCCTTCGAAAAAGTAATCGAGAAATACTTCTTGGGCTGGTTTCCATTTTCCGAGTTAAATTTAACTCGTGGTTAAACGTGACATTTCGTAAGCTATTTTCAATGTTCGAAAATCCCGGAAATTGATCGGTTTTTGAATAGAACTCAGCCAAGGTTGCCAAAATTTAACTTCTAATCGGTCAGAAATAACCACGCCTGGATAGCAGGGTATTTGATAACAATTCATCTGTCACTTTTAACCACGAGTTAAATTTAGCTCGCCTATTGGGACACTGCCTTGGAAGTAAAATTTGGAACTATCCATAAATTACGTGGATTGGTTTTGACCACTTGACCTCCCTTCCCCCTAACGCCCTCTAGTTAAATTATGGACGACTGTCACCACAAAACAGAAAAAAAGCTGTTCAAATCGAGCAAAGCGGTGCATTTTGACGGTTCGATTGGAGCAACTTTTCACAGACGTCCATACTGTTACTGTAGGGCTTTACTTCCCTCTTGTAGCGTGTTTAGTTATACCTAACACATGACCGGTTACAACTTCTGAAACAAACCCCTCTCCCCCCTCAACTACTATGAGGTCCTGAATTTAATCAAGTTTTACTAAGTATGAAATCCAAAATATGTACATAGGACCGAAATCATAGGTTACTTCTACTGTATTTTAAATCAATATCTAGTAAAATGCACGAGAATTTTACAACACAGCTTAACGTAGTCTACGTCAACCATGCGGTCTTGTCTTGTACTCAACCCCACAAATTTCTACACATTGAGAATGATTGCTAGTCCCAAGCATCGTTTATTGGTTCTCTGTGTTATTACAGCTGATCTGGCAATAACAGAGTAGCAACCGTGGGCGGTCAATCATGCTCATGCTCAATTTAGCTCAGTCAATATAATTTATTAGATGTAAAAAGTGGGCCCTCCCTTACCTCATTCGGTAAATATGCAGCTTTAAAACAAGACCATGCTGGGTGGCTGAATTCAATTCGGTCCGGTCTAGGAATTGTTTCAAGATGAAACAGGATTGTAAAGCTCTCAAATAACAACTGTGGAAGTGCACAAGAGCACTATGTTAAGGGCCGACGTAGTCCCACATTTTTTTTAACTATCCCACATCCACCCTAGTATCTCTAGTCATGCATTAAACAATCACTATAATCACAACTTTTTTTTCTCCAATCCTTTTCAGAGAGACGCCATCGTGTTGGATCCGACCAGTTCAGACATTAGAAATTGCGTTTCGAAAGGCAAAAGCGAGGTAAGTTTATTTGTATACCCATAAAATTCTTTTCCCCGATTCATTGTAAGCAGCCCCTCAAAAAGTCCCACAATCCTACTTTTATTTGACTCCAGTCTATTGTACTATAAAATATGTCCCAACCGAATATGTTCTCGTATTTATTTAACTTCACATATCAAATAAACCGTGTCCCATTGTCGTGTCGGTCGTCCTGGCAGCATCCAACAAAAAACAACCCGATCGCCTCGTAGAATTGACATCAATTTTTGTTAACCGTCGCCGACCACGCACCCCCCAGCAAACCACGTGTGCCAATATTTGATTGATCAATTGATTTCTTTATAGCACGGCATAAAATATTTAATTTTTCTATATTTGTAATGCCTTTACCGCGTGCCATGAAGTGGTTCCATGCCGGTCGATTTGGTTCAATTTATACACCATTCTCTGGTACATGGGTAAATGTTACGCCTTCATCATTGACAACAACAACAAAAAGCACGGATCCTACATCAGGGAAGGATACCGAAATTGTCCATTTATTCAGCCATAGTTTCCGTTTTTTATGCTACCTTACCTAAACATTCCGGTTATTGCGGAGCGCGTGGATCACCTTCGCTTTATCGCTTTTCAATTTTGCAACAAAATATGATTTCATCGTTGCCTTCGCCGTCGTCGTTCGGTTGGACCGATGCAAGAGGTGAATGGAACTACCACGAGAACAGACGTTGGGCTGCGAAGAAACCAAATTCGTCAAGGAGGTAAAATGGAGCGTATAAAAGGTGTCATATTTCCAGATTATGGTGGTGGCAGTATCCAAACCGCTATTTTTGGTGCTTCTTTTTGCATCAAATCCGGGCGTTTCTTGGGAAGGTTTGGGGATGATCGAATATACTAAGGGTGAACTGCCAGAACAGGACTACTGATCGATTAGGATAGATGTCTTAAAGATTTTCGGGACGCAGCAGGGGGATTTTGGTGCCAGGCTATATCAATTAGAATCTTGCAATCTTCGTCGAAAATTATTCGTTTCTGGCACCCCTATACTGCCGACGCATGGATCCTTCACCTCACCTGCGTTGACTGCCTCGACCAAAGGCAATAAAAATATTATTCCTTCCCTTCTGTTTACCCTTGATTGCACACAGCAGTGAAAACATGGCCCACAAGGAGATAAAGTTTTTCCGCGTAATGGCTCGATATGAGCACAGGATTTATTTTAAGGTGCTCCGTCGGATGGACGAGCTTGCTCGTGCGTTTCTTGTGTGGAAATACCTAGGCGAAGAAATTGAAAATGTAAATTTCGGTATTTTATTGAAGGAAGATTCCTACGCTGGCAGGGTATAATTGCGTTTCTCAACATGAGTTTCCCCGAGTTTTATCTCTTACTTTGGTGGAAGGCTGCAGCCGACAATTTGTAATAGGCGTGAATCAGCAGATGTTGGCAATTTTCAACTTGAAGCATTTATGAGCGCTACCGCACCGCCACCTTTACCTCGGTCCCAAAACACCCGGGGAACGTGAAGCACCCAGAGTGTTTTGAGATGAATCAGCTTCTTCGATTTCTCATTTTCACGTACGCGGAAAAATTGCTACGTGCCATGAAAACTAAGCCAATTTTATTGCGGAATACTGCCCTGAAATTGACGATTTGGTGCGGCTTTTGGCGTGCTAGGGCAACCCACCGACGTGTTTTGGTACGTGTTTGACTTTTACCCACATCAGACTTTTCCAGGCGTGTGCCGTGGCGACTGATTTCGGAGCGGAAACTGTAGGTGAAAAATCATTATTTCCAATGAAATTCCCTTGGAATCACCCGTTCCCTTCAGTCTTTGGGACAAGCTGGCTGCGTTGGTTGATGGTTGTTTTCTGTTTTTCTGAGGATTGCCGCTTGAAGTTAATAAATTATTTTCTTGAAAACGATACCAGAAGGCAAAAGGCCATGTGTTTTCGCGGAAAAATGTTGCGAGAATGGTGAAAACAATCCACTGCCTACATGTCGGAATCAAACCCACACCTCGCTGTACGCTAGACGGGCACTCTACCACTTTGCTACCGTAGACTTGTGTGAGGAATATGGTTCACCATCATTGCATCACACTCAACCACATGATTTTTTTTGCCTGCTGTTATCGGAGTGGTAGAGTTTTCTAACTGACTATAGCCACTACACTGTCAATGTGACAGCGGAGTTGGCTATTCAGACTGAGAATAGTACCGTATCAGGGGAGAATAGAGAATATGGGAAGTCTGCATCGTGCTCTTTTTCCGTGCGGATCTATTTGCTTTTTGCTAAAGGAAGTGTTACTACCTAAAGCTACAATAAAATTTAAACAGCACTTTTCAGTGCTCAAACTGTAAAATTGCTACCTTTTTCAACTTTTATTCCTCTTCAATCCTTGTTTGAACCCTACCCGAGGTAATCCTTCTTGGATATCGATTTGGAAAATTCCTCTTCGATCCTTCAGATTCTTATAGTAATCTGCTTGGAAGTCGATTTGGATAAAAGTTTTCTGCCGCCATGGTGCCTAAACGCAAAAGAAAGGGGCAAACTCTTGACCCCCCTTCTGATGAAATTAATTTGAACAATCAATTTGATTTGCTCACGGATTATGAGAATGATCCATCATTCAGGAAAAATTTTAGTAAACTTTCCCGGCTTAATGCCAAGAAGGAAAAGATTCCCCCTATTGTGATAACCACATCCGATTTCCATGCTCTTCGCATGGAACTTTTGAATTTCGTGAAAGTTAAGTTTTCACTACAAATTGGGTGTCGGGGTGAATTCCGTGTATTGGCTGAAACCTTGAACGGAATTAAATGTCTTCTCAAGTATCTTACTGAGAAGCAGCACACATTTTTTACTTACGACACCAAAACTGAACGTGTGTTCAAGGTTGTCATGAAAGGACTGCCCACTGGTGAATCCCTGGATCAGATCAAAGATGACCTGGCAAAATTACTTGGAGTTGTGCCACTCCAAGTAATCAAAATGAAAATGAATCCCGTCCTGGCGATTCACGGAACGGGATTTCCAATGATTTTTATTTAGTTCACTTCAAGTCTAGTGAACTAAACAACCTTAAGGCCTTAGAAAAAGCTAGCCTTATGCTCCATGTCCGAGTGAAGTGGGAACACTTCAGGAAGACTGGAGGAAATTTCCAAAACCTCACCCAGTGCCGTAAGTGCCAGGGATGGGGTCACCGAACTAAAAATTGCTACATGCCAGCTTAATGCATGAATTGTGGTGATTCCTCTCACGCAAAGGACGACTGTCCTGTGAACGAAGATCCTATGAAATTTAAATCCAGCAATTTTCCTGATATTCATAAAACAACTCTGAAAATCCCACAGTGTTCCTGAAATGTTCGGAACATTTCTGAATTGCACTTCGGAATATCCCATAATTCTTCGGAACTTCTTTAAATTTTTTGCAAATTTACTAAAGTTAATGGGGTTTTTTTTTTCCTTGATTTGTTTTCCGTCGATCTTGTTTTCCGTGCTGAGCACCAATGCTACCAACGCCAGGGAGGCAGCTCCCACACCTGGACCCTACCTATCGACCCATCAACTCATGAACCGGGGAGCAACGGCTTTACTTCCCTTCAGAAGGAAGGCGTGATCAGAGATGTTATGCCTCTGAACATCCCGGCGGCGCCGACTGGGATTGAACCCAGGCCTGCTGGGGTGAGAGATAATCACGCTTACCACTACACCACTATTTTTTAAAGTTTTCGAAACTGCCGATACACGACACAGAACTTCCCTTAAAATGTTCTCACAATTTTTTAATGTTCATGTTCCGTTTCCAAAAATTTCATGAACCTCTCTGATCTGGACTGAAGTTTTCGGAAATTCCTGAGCTTTTTGGAACTCATTTAAAGGTGCAGAAATTTCTGTGAATTTAAATGTACTAATGCTTCCCTAAAGTTATCTTAATTCTCCTAAAACAAATGGAACTATCCTGAAAACCATTATACTTCTTTGAAGTTCTTTGGGCTTGTGAAATTTCCAAAATATTTCAGTTTCGTTAAGTTCATTGGAGTTCTCAGGGCTTTCCTGAGATTCCCAGGTTCTCGGATTTGAACAGTAGTTGTTGAAACTGTCTTTAATTTATCGGAACTGACCCCAAAAGTTCGAACTGTTCTATAGTTTCAGAACTTCTGAAAAGTTTTCCTGAAACTAATGGAACCGTAATAAAACTCTGGAAGCATTTCTGAAGTTCCGGGGAAGTTGAAAAAACTGACTGGAGGAGACGGAATAACCTTTCGAGCGAAGCCAGAAAAAGCTTCCAAGGGAAGTTGAAATAGCTCTCCGGAAGGAATCGGAAAATAATTAACAGGGTAAAGTGGACAGAAATTCCTAGATTGGAAAGGTGGAAGAAATTTCGAAGAGAAGATTTAAGAAATTTCAGGAAGTTCAAAAATTAACGTTTTTATGAATTTATTTTTCCACTGAATAAAAGTATTTCCCGATTTTCAGAAATTACTTGCATGAGCTATAATCTGTTTCTCGACTCCTTGGTAACCAAAAACGGCGAGGAAATGAAAGCATCAGTTGAAAGAGTATCAAACATAAGGAATTTTTGATGGTGATATTTTTTTAAGGGCAATCTCAAAAATTGTAATTTTCAGAAAGGTTAAAGTCGCTCACAATTGTTTCCACTAATAATTCAGTGAGGGGCAGGCAGTAATCATTTTGATTATTAATAAAAAAAAATCGATATAAATCGGTATTCTAACTCAAAAATCGGTATTCTGAGCAACATTATCTGTGTATCGGTATCAAGTTATATCTGGCAACGCTGGTTCAACGCCACGGGTCGAAAGCACTGCTGCCGATTGTAAACCACCACACACGGTGTTTAATAAGCGGCGAGACTAGATGGAATCCGAATTTGAAGTCTATGTTAGGAAGGGAAAGCGCTTTTTGCAGGCAATCAGTGATAATTATGTGTTATTTTTAATAGTGACCTAGCAAAAATTGATAAAATGTTTATTTTAGCTGAATCGTAGAAA